CTGCGGGGTCTACTGGGACTTCTAACGTCTGGGCTGGGCCCCGTCAGGAGCCAGGAGCTCCGGCTTTTCCCTTCTCTTTAGTTCAGTTGCGGGTAGTGGCAGCAGTGAGCTCCACCCATCCGGCTCTGTTTCTAGGGAGTTTTGTGGGAGCGACATCCGGGGCGGTGGGAATCCCTGGTTCCCACATCTGTTTCACTGAGGCTTTCACAGTCTCACCCTAATGTCCTCCCATCTCCCTTCCAAATCCCCCTGGTGACTCATGGCTAACTCGATGCCCATCTCCTCAGGAAGCATTCTGTAACCACGGTCGCTGGTTCCTCTCTTAGAACCTCCTCGCAGGAACACGTGGATTCTACACAGTCATGCACTACATTCTGGTGGCTTCTGAGGCCAGCTGTGCAAGCTCTACCTCAGGCCCTTGAGACCAGGGACCACGCCTGGCACTTGTCTGGTTTCTCTGCAGCATGGAATGTAGCACAGAGCACTGCCCCATCGATCCTAGTTGGAGAGTTAAAGAGTGCTTCACTGTGGCGTTCGCCCTGCTCAGAAATGACACACTCGCCCCTGGCTGCTGGCTGCGCTGTGGCAGACAGCCCTCAGCGGTCAGCCCTACAGAAGTTGTCTGGGGCGGAGAGCTGCCGGCTCAAGGTCAAGGCACTCCCCATCTGATGACTAGAGCAGACATAGGGATACAAAGACCCGCCCCTTCTCTCCATCTTGGGACAACTCTAAATAGTCATCCCAACTTCAGACCTTCCCGTAGAATCAGAACTCCCCACGCAGACTGCGCTGCAGCTCACCCCCTCCCTCTGCCCAATCCTGCTCCCCTCCCTCCGCGTGACCCCAAGGGCGCTCCTTAGTAAGTGTCCTGCCCAATAATCTCCATCCCAGACTCTGCTTCCCAGGCAACACAGACCATGACCTTCATTCATGGCCTCAGATGTCCATCTCTTCAAATGGAAAAGGGGTGGAGGGAGTAGAGAAAATCGCCGCATCCCCCCAGAGGTGAGACCTCACTCAAGGTCAACACAGGCAGTGGGTCAGCGGCATGGCCGGGACTCTGCCCTCTAGAGTTTGCCCCTCTGCCCTGCATCCTGAGGGTAAGGGGCTCAGGGCAGAAGACGAATCTCTGCGGACCCCCTTCCAGTCGGCAGGTCTCTGGCTTGGGTGGGGACAGAGCACCCGGAGGCATGTTGCTCTTTCAGGAGTGCATGAAATACTCACTTAGTACATTCATATCATGAAATGCATAATTTTGTCTGAAATCAGCAAACATCCTCGATTAGTTTCGCAAAATAAACAAGTGGTTACCAGTTGTCCATGTTTTGAGACCATTTTAAAGGAGAAAACTTTTGAACTGTTCACAAGCTTAACCTTTTTTTTTTTGCAAAATGAGGAAAAGACGCCACAACTCAATTTTAGAAACAGAGGCCCTTGAAGCAGCGCACAGAATGTGGGAGCAGAGTCTGCAGATGGCTGCCCTAGAGGGGCCCTCCTTCCCTGCCAGCCCCGGCAGTGGGAGCAAAGCTTTAAAAGTTGATCCCTGAGAAGGAACAATTGACCCTAGGTCCCCTGGCCCTGGAGGTGATGCGAGGAAAGTTCCCTGGTCTCAAGCAAACCCGGCACTCATGGGGATTTGGGACAATAGCCCTGCCCCCGCACCCTGCCACCGCAGACATCTGCACTCCACTGTCACCTTACAGTGTTTTCTGAGCACCTCGGATCCCCCTGTGATCTTAGCTGGTGCTAAGGCCATTTCCCGGTGCCTTACAAGGATGAGCTTGGTTAAGCCTCCCAATTAATGAACCCATTTTACAGAAGAGGAAATCAAGTTTTCGAGGTATAGAGTAATTTGCCAAAATCATGGAGTTAATGAGTAGGAAAGGTGGCATGCACATCCGGCATCTAATTCCACAGCATATGCCTCAGACATCAGAGAATAAAAGCAGTAAGGGCACACTCAAGACCTCAAGAGGCCACCAGGAACTAGGATATAATCTAGACTTCCGTCAAGACTAGGGCTCTGGAGGCCAGTTTAGAAATCCCTGCTGCAGGCTGTGGGGTAGTACAGACCCCCAGGTTCAGCAACCTGCCGAGCTGCTGAGAGTTTGCAGCTATCAACCAGGCCACAGACCCCTGCAGGCCTTCCGGGAGAGCCCCAGAGACACAGGGGGATGGAGCGGGCCACCTCCCTTCCTGTGACACTGCAGCCACCCTCCTAATTAGGCACCCACCAGCTCCCTGCTCTTGGCTTTTTCTAGGTCAAAGGGCCACCTGAGGCTGTGGAGTTGAAAAGGCTGAGAGCTGCAGTCAGCAGGGGCGAGTTCAGCTCTGCTACTTAGCTGAACAATGTTGGCTAGTGTCCCTGGCCTCAGCTATTCCATCTGTTAAAAGGGGAAACAGCACCTTTTCTCCCTTGCAGCAGAGGGGGATAGATCAGAGGCATGACACAGATAGACGCTGGCTGTGCCTTTGGCCACCACATCTGATCCTGGTCACCTCCCCCTCTGCCACCAGGGAATGCAAGCCTCAGTACTGGGAAGCTTAACCTGCTGTCCAAAAGTGTTAACTATCAAGGTCAAATATAAAGGTCTGGGGCTCAGCAAGGCCGTGACTATCTATCGTCAGCTGGAAGGTTAGGGTCGACTGGATAATATTCCGTAGCCGTTCCTCAAATGCCAGAATCACACGCTCCACCAAGGAGGACTCGGGAGGCCCCTGGTGCTGGCTGCCTGCTTGCAGACAGAGGTCCTTAAAGCGTCCGGCCGCCTGCTCTTCTCCTGAAAGTCCCATTGCCTGGGGACTCTGTGACGGCTGAGTGTTGGCCTGCACCATATTCCAGATTGTGAGTAAAGGTGGGGCCCCGGCCGGCACACGGCACAGGCTCAACATGTGTCTGCCACGCTGAATGGCAGAGTCCGAGACCCCGATGGTCAAGATGTTTGTTGCTTGAGTCCGTCTTTGGTCCAGAGGAACACTCTCTCCTTTCATTTCAGATGATTTCCTGCAGTTCGGGTCCTGGGGAAGGTGGGCGGCCGCTCCTCAGCGCTCTGTATAAATCTTTCAAGAGTTTACTGGCATGAACGTCCTTTCCCTGCAGCCTCCTCTTCCCTGGCCCTGGCCCGTTAGCCTCTCCTCACAGGACATACTTTCCATCCCTTTAATCATCTTTATTGCCTTGCTTTGGACCCAGTCCCGGGTCCACATCCTTTGCGAGGTGTGCTGACCTAACTGGGCATTTGTTAACACAAGCGAGGCTCAGCGGAAGGCCGGCTTCCCGGTGCCTGCATGTCACGCTCCTTTTCCTACATTCCTGGGTCACGCCGCTGCTTTCCGGAGACCTGCACTGTCCAGGGGCTCCTGCTGAGTGAGGTGACCTGGCCCACAAGCGGAGGCGCGGCTGATCTGGACGCCGAGAGCAGCTTGCCCTTGCCTGGGCCCACAGGGGGACTTCTCCTACGGAAGCTCGGGGACTCCCTGCACCTCCACACACACTCTGGGGACCACAGGGCAAGGGAGGAGCGACAGTGAGCCTCTGCTCTTCCGGACACCTCCCCAGTCCCCTGTGAACCCCATGCCTCCTTTAGGGGGTGCTCCCTACTTCTCTCTGCGGGGAACCCAGCAATCAGGAATTAGCCTCTGTGACGCTGCACAACAAGAAGGCGGCGCACACAGCACAGCGACTGCACTCTGGGCAGGCCAGGAATAGGCTTGGTCCACCTCTCCCTGCTCAGTTTCCCCTTTTGACGCCACTACGTAAAGTGCCTGGTGGTTTCTAAGCCCGGACTGCCTTCCTCCCAGATGGCTGTACACTCACTGTCCTCTCAGGCTATTCTGGTTCCACTAAATCCACCAGCTGATGACGTTCCGGGGGCCTGGTCCTCCATCCACCCTGAGTCGCGGCCACCACCCAACACGCCTCGTTCAGGGCCCGCGTGTGGAGGGAGGCATCAGGGACCCTGGGCAGCCCTAGTCTCCAGGAAGCTGCACAAGAAGAGGCGTTTCCAGTATTCTGAGGAAGCATGTTGACTGGGCTTTTATTTTTTGCTCTCTGAGAACACACTCTGTTCATTAAAGGTAAAACCACAAGCCATCACCTTTAACTAAGAAGAAATTCCCTGTAGAGGAGAACCTCATTTTAATTCTTCAGGCAGAAGCCTTCCTTCCTCCGTCCCTCCGTCCCTCCCTCCCTTCCTTCCCCGCTTCTCTCTCTTCCTCCCCTCTCTCATTTCCATCCAGAAATCATTTATGCACATGCTAACAAACAAATACTCTAACCCTGCTTTTGCACAAATGGCCACACACTAAAACACTGCTCTGCACCTGGACTCTTCCATTTGGAATATACACCTTGAAGACCTTTGCCTGTCAGACAACCTTTAAGGAAACAAAGGCTCAGCCTCCCAGACGCCCAACCTCAGTTGTTTGTTCCTATCCAGGGCTACCCCAGGCACTTTTTCTGGCCCCTTGCTGTCACCCAGACCTCTGCTGGATGCCAGGGGAGATCCTGGTCTCTGCTTTAGTTTAAGTGAGCCCCAACCCCCCAGGCATTCGAGAGAAGTAGCACGTACAGTTGCTGATCTGTGTGTCGCTGTCCCAGCAGAACCCAGCACAGGCCAGGGACGGCTCTCAGGACAGGGCAGAGGAAAGACAGTCCTGGCACTGTGAGCTCCAGAGCCTCCTGGAGGCTGTGTCTCAAAACACACGTCGGCAGGTCCTGGTCCCCTGAGGACCGCTACTGTTGCTGCATGGTCAGTGGAAAGAGCTTTTCTCTTCCTGAACTGTCAAACCTGCCCTGGACTCCTGAATAGATCCAATCCCAGGGCCAACCAAGAGGTGGGCAGCCGCCACCGCCCCCGGTCACCAGCCCACTGAGTCTACGTCGCCTCTCGCCGCATCGGCTGATGACCAGGAAAAGCCAAACACAGGACAGGACCGTAGCTCCAGAAGGGCCGGCAGAGGCGGAGAAAACCCAAAGCTGGCGATGGAGAGTCTCCTACCTTCGGTCATTTCTTCTCCTCCGGAACAGCTTCTTCGTGTGTGCAATCTCCACCTCATGGGGCATCGGGTGGTAGCCCTGTGTGTTTGGAGGAGGAAGAGAGGATTGTCAGTAAGTCTTCTGGAAGAGAGCAAAGAACTTCTGGGTCTGAACTAACTACAACAACACCTATGACAAAACGAAATCGAGAGTTTGGAAAGGCTAGACTCTGACCAGCAAATCCAGGCTGAAAAATGGAGAACACCAGAGTTAATGAGTTTCCCATCAGGTGATAACGCTGGAATTATAGAACCAAAGAACAGTGGGGACACAAAGGGGTCCCTAGAATTTGTCATATCCAGTTACTCAAATTACAGATGAGAACACTCAGGTCCAGAGAGGTGGATGAGCCAGTTTAAGGTCCATCAGAGAATGAGATCCTGGAATCACTGGCGGACGGAGGACAAGTTAGCCCTCTAACATCAAGCTTCCTAACACAATGGGAATGTTAATATCTTCTCTGAGCTGTTGAGACGACCAAGGAGATGCAGCCTCCTTGCAAATCCTGAGCCTCATGCAGAGGGAATGTGCCAGGACCCAGGTCTCCTCATATACTAGTCCAGGATGCCTCATGCAATTTTTACCCAAGATCTTTGTTACTTATACTCCTGGGGTATATTTAGAGGAAACATGCAAATAGCTAAATGCTTTTTTAAACTTTTAACTGGGGAAAATCCTAAAGATGGTCTTTTGCATATTGTCATCATGATAACAACTATGTATATATTTATACCAAGGTCGGAGAGAGACCCTCTATTCATAATGCAGGTTGATCTTGCAGATGCTGGGCCACAGGCGGAATTATTTGCAGAAGTTGGGCTGATGGCCAGCTCTCTTCTTACCATTTCCCTCCCCCCAGAAAAGTGTGTCCTGGTGGGACAAGGGAAAGCACTGCCATTCCATTATGGGCAGGCTGGGGTGGAGTGGGAGGGGTTGAGGGTCTTAGGCCTGGGCCTGGGACATCTGGGTATGGGTCCTGGTGCAGAGTCCACAGCCTGACCATGGCCCCCATGCCGCCCACAAGGCCCTGGGTGTGCACAGGGTCAGAGGGTGTGACAGGGCCCAGTGTGCTGGAGAGGGCACAGTGAGGGCCCATTTAGCACCCGCCCCACGCACTTTACAGACAGGGAGACAGAAGCCCAGGCCCCCTCCACGGCAAGGGCACATGCAGCCCTCTGGATCTGGGCTCCTAGCGGAGCGTCCCGCTGGGCTGCCTTCTCAGGGCTTAGCCCCCAACCACGGGCTAAGCAGCCCTGGACACGGGCAGCCCGGCCAGTCTTGAGGTGCTTCCTGGGGCGGGCACGGGGAGGACAACAGGCTCAGGAGGACGCGGGGACCTTGGCCTTTCAGACGCTCGGCCGACACTCCTATCGAGTCCAGGGAGGGAAGGGCACGTTTCAAATTTAATTTAATTTAATTTATATTATTTATATTGTCAGTCCCTCCCTCACACCCTGTCTCTTGGTTCCAACAATCCGACCAAGAAGGCATGAATGAGTTCTGGCTCGGGCAGGCACAATGGGCCTCTGCTGCCTTAGGATGTGCTTTGTTTAATGGTTTTCTCAAAGGATATTATTTGCTTTCTTTAATACAAAACACAAACAAGGAAAAACAGCAAGTCTTCCCCTCTCATTTCCCCTCTCCCACCCTCACCCAGCTCCGGGCTGGCCCCTTCCCTCCCTCCGGCCTCAGGTCACCACAGGAACACTGGGCGTGCCCCGTGGAGACAATGCAAGGAAGCCGAGCCTGGACCGGGAGCTGAGCTCCGAGGCCGGGCCGAGGGCGCTGTCGGGACACTTGGCCTTCCACGAGCTCAGAAGGTGCCCGTCTTCCCTGTCTGGGCCCCGGAGTCCTGGGCTCTGACCTGCATCCTGGCCTGCCCACCCCCCCTCCCGGCCACACGGCTGCAGCAGAGGGGAGCTGCCCTGGTGACCCAGCCTCGGCATGGAGTCCCAGCTCTCTGCCAGGACTCAGTGTGGCCCAGGGGCATGCGCGACCCCTCAGGGCTTCTAATGAAGCCACTGCTCTGACCGCTGTGTCCATCCATCTATCACCTCCAAATTACCACATATGTATGTACATATATAAAATATCATCATAGTTAAAAGCCTGGGACCTGGAGCCACACTGTGAACTGTCAGCTCCTGTGACTTTGAACAGGTGACCTAACCTCTATGTGCCTCAGTTTCCACACCTGTAAAATGGAGATAATAATAGCCTCCTGGGGTCCCTGTGAGGGTTGAATGTGTTGATAAGAATGTAAAGAACGTAGAACAGTGCCTGGTACACAGCACACCTCAGCAAGTGTCTCTGGTGCTGTCACTGCCATCGTTGGCGTCATCACCACCGTCATCATCATCGGCGGCAGCAGCATTTCTCCCATCATCCTGACACTCTGCTCAGGGCTGAGTGCGCCAGGACAAGCAAGGCTGCTCTGGTCCCTCTCCTCATGGGGCCCCCAGTCTTGGCAGAGAGAGTCCAGTGGAGCTGGTTTGCAGGGGAGGAGGGTGTAGGAAGCTCGGGTTAGGGAGGGTGGAGGGAATTAGCAGAGAGCCTGGTGACCAGGTGGTGTGCTGGGGAAGGATGGAGGAGTTCTGCCTGTGTTCTCTTTGGCCTGAGGCTGGCAGATCCCAGTGGGAGGCCAGAAATCAGCTGAACAAAGTGACAAAGGTGACAGAACAAAGCCTTGCACCTCGAAGGTCTTCCGTCCCCAGGAATAACCCAGGCTGGTGCTATAGAGGACTGGTCCCACCCACAAGATCACCTGGGGCCCCAGCCTACTGGCACCATGGTGAATACATGAATGAATGCCACCTTCCCTGGGGCACTTATGTAGAACTTTCAGACGGTCTTGTATAAAATGGGGTGCACTGTATTTATACAAGCTTTACTGGAGGACCCTCTTCAATTAGCCACTTAGTTCTTCAAACTCAAGCTGGTGGTGGTACCATGTGACACACACAACTCAAGATGCTGCCCACACTTCCCCCCAAACAAGGGCATTTGGGGCCAACCATGAGGCCAAAAGAGGAAGACAGAAGGAGAAACTCTGTGCTTAGCTACGATCTGTCATCAGATTAGCTGCTGACCTAGGCTGGCAAAAGTTCTTTAAAGCCATTGGCGGGAGATGAGGCTTGTACATGAATGTTCATAGCAGCAGTATTCATAATAGCCAAGAATGGAAACAACCCGAATGTCCAATAACTGATGTCTGGATAAATATGTGGTAGCTCCTTACAATGGAGTAGTGCGTGGCTATAAAGAGAGGACGCTCTGATACGTGCTACAGCGTGGGTGAATCTATCAAAGACCACATATGGTTCGATTTCATTTCTTTTTTTTTTTTTTTTTGCGATACCCGGGCCTCTCACCGCTGTGGCCTCTCCCGTTGCGGAGCACAGGCTCTGGACGCGCAGGCTCAGCGGCCATGGCTCACAGGTCCAGCCGCTCCGCGGCATGTGGGATCTTCCCGGACCGGGGCACGAACCCGTGTCCCCTGCATCGGCAGGCGGACTCTCAACCACTGCGCCACCAGGGAAGCCCCGATTTCATTTTTATGAAATGTCCAGAAATGGCAAATCTGCAGAGACGGAAAGTAGATGAGAGGTTGCCAGCGCCTGGGGAGTGAAAGAATGGGGAGTGACTGGCAATGGGCTCCAGGCTTCTTCTGGGGATAATGAAAATATTCTGGAATTGGACAGTGGTAATTGTTGCTCAATCTCATAAAACCATTTACTCATATATTTTAAAGGGTGAATTTTATGGCATGTAAATTATATCTCAATTTTTAAAAGGTGGGAAAAATATTCCAGGTAGAGGCAATAGCAACTGTTTTGAAAAAAAAAAAAAAATCCAGCCGTGGTGAACACTGTGCCCCCCTCTCACTCAACTACTCTACAGAAAGCAGCTGCCCTAAAACATGGCTCCTACGAAAGGGCTGGAGAGGGTGGCACGTGTAGGCAAGGGGCATCCAACAACGAGAGTGACTAATAAGGAGTCTGGAGAGGCACATGAGTTAGTATTTCCAGGCCCGGCCAGGGAAGATGGGGTTCTGGCTTTAGACCAGAGACCCCTCTCTGCTTTTTAGATAGGATGTAACTCTTGAGTGGAGAATGGGAAATTTATCAGGCTTGCCAGAATGATCGTTTAAGAGTATACAGTATAAAAAAACAAAGCAAAACAAATATTTTTAAGAGGGTGGATCTCATGTTACATATACTAAATAAGATAAAATGTCACAGAACTAAAAAAAAAAAAAAAAAGTATACAGTAGTCTTCGCTCTATTTCTTTACTCAATAAATTCTTCTATTCTATGTTTTGAAAGAGCCCCATCTGGACGTCAGTCCAGGTATGAGCATCCCCCCTCCCCCCAAATAAACAAGAGCCCTACCAGCCTCTGGTTTACCAGCTGGTTTGTGTGTTTCCTCAGCCAGAGTCAGGTGAGCCTCTGTAGCATCACCCTGGACCACCCAGGCCCTGCCTGCTCTTCCTCTGCCTCTCTGCATGGGAACCCTTCTCCCTTTAGCTCTGAGACCTGGTTGCAGTTCCTCTCTGTCTAACCTCTGACCACTTTCAATAACTAAGTGGGCCTGGGAGACAAGTAGATTACATAAAACAAGCCTCTCCTGGGAGGGAGGGAAGATAATACTCCTTCTGCGTGCAGCTTGGGCAGAGGACACGTGAAACACACACACACACACTCTCTCTCTCTCTGTGTCTCTCTCTCTCCCGTCCCGGAGGTCAGCACGGGTCTAAGATGCGGCACCACGGGCAGCGTGTTACTGCTCTGGTTGCTGAAACCCGTCACGTAAAATTTGCCCATTCCAGGGCAGGCTGAAGCTAAGACCTCACCACCTGGGATGGCAGGTATTTCTGGGGGATTAAAGGCAGCTGCGGCAGAGCTGCTGACCGCAGACTGGCAGTGCAGGGGCCTTCCTCTGAGATGACAGCTACCAACAAACATATCTTGGGTCTGGGGAGGGAGGGCAATGTAACCACGCTGAGCAAGGCGGCGTGTGTGCCGGGTGGTGCTGAGACC